CCCCCTCTCTCTCTCTCTCTATCTACCAAAGAAAAAGAAAAGATTAAAAAACATCTCTCAGATGCAATTTCTGGGTCTTGTACACGCTTGTGCATTGAAATAATTTTGTATGGCATTTATGATATATTTGAATGACACAGCTTTGCAAGGAAACAGCATAATGCGCGCTATATATATGTATACGTATGAAAAAGACGGTAATTGTTATAATATTCTTACCAAGCAGTCCGAATGGAAACCAGAGGGTGTAAGCATCGTCTATGCGGAGTGTGTTTTGCTTGTTCGGGTCCTGGATCCGTTCGTTAGCGTTCCTCACCAGAAACGGCATCCGGAACAAATCTACGATGTAGCCGACCCCTAACAAACCGAAGGTAAAGAAATAAAGAATTCCCCATCCGGGTCTGTTCAGGTAGAAATGATGGGCGCCAACTAGTCCTAGAGCAAAGTGAAGGACGTATGCCTCCACTATGGACTTCTGTTGAAATGTTCTCATTGGATTCTGGACGACATGGTGGGAAACCGGATAACTAGCTCCATACGACGGGACCTGTACCGGGGCTGCCCCGGCTTCAGCACGCTTCATTGGTTTGGCTGGTCTGAAATTTGAAAGAAATATGTCTTGATTTTCATTTCAATCAACGAACATTTAAAATATAATCAGTAACATCACTGACTTACTGACAAATCATCTTAGAGGCGACTTGTTTAAGACACTCCAGATCATAATACCAATATGCGTTAATAGTAATCGTCGTAGAGGCCACCTGTTTAATGCCTTGGTAGCAATTTGTCTTTGTGGCCGTTTAAGTAAGTCAATATACCCACTGACTTGTGGACATGATCATCTGTCCTAATGGTCGTCTGCCGTAATGGTCGTCTGTCCTAATGGTCGTCTGCCGTAATGGTCGTCTGTCCTAATAGTCGTCTGCCGTAATGGTCGTCTGTCCTAATGGTCGTCTGTCCTAATCGTCTGTCCTAATGGTCGTCTGCCGTTATGGTCGTCTGTCCTAATGGTAAATATCTTAAAGGCCACTTTTGAAGTGGCAACATGTATAGTGTCTCAATGACCATCGTTTCAGTGGCCATTTGTAAAATATCGTAATGATTGCCGTCTTACAGCACCATTATCGCGTAATATCTTAATGACCACCGTGTTCGTGGCCACCTGCAAAATATCTTAATGGCAAATGCTTAAGTTACCACCTGTCTAAGACATTACTTGCATTAGTAACATGTGTTGGTGACCATGCGTCTTAGTGGCTACCGGTCTTAATGCCAGCTGTCTTAGAGGCCACATGTAAAATGTCATAATTGCCACTGTCTTAATTTCCACCTGTATCAGACATTTCTTTAATTAGCAATACGTTTTTGATGACCATCCGTCTAACAGGCTAACTGTCTTAATGACAACTGTCGTCTTAGTGGCCACATGTAAAATGTCTTAGTGGCCATATGTAAATGTCTTAGTGGCCACATGTAAAAAGTCTTAGTGGCCACATGTAAAATGTCTTAGTGGCCACATGTTAAATTTCTTAGTGGCCACATGTTAAATGTCTTAGTGGCCACATGTAAAATGTCTTAGTGGCCACATGTAAAATGTCTTAGTGGCCACATGTAAAATGTCTTAGTTGCCACATGTAAAATGTCTTAGTGACCACATGTAAAATGTCTTAGTACATGTACCACTGCATTAGTAGCAATATGTAAAATGTCTTAATTGTCATATGTAAAATGTCTTAATTGTCATATGTAAAATGTCTCAGTGTCTATTTGTAAAATGTCTTAGTGGCTGCCTGTCTTAATTTCAACAGACTCAGTGACCACATCGAAAATGTATTAATTACAATCTGTCTTAGCTGTCACCTGTATCAGAAACTTATAAATATATCAGTGTTAATCTGCGAGAAAAGTAGATTGCGCATTTGAAAAAAAAAGGTCATAATATACATTCAAACAAATAACATAAGGTTACATTCTTTTTTTACTTCGCGGAGCAAAATCATCACCAACAAAAATATTTTGATTTGTAGTATATATAATACCTTGATCGGCGTGCTAGCTTAGTCAGATTTGGGAGTTTAAAACAATTATCAATACAGTACAATTCACTACTGCTGTGCCTTCTATTTCTCCTCCCAATTTTAGGAAAATGGCTTCCAACATCAAATGAAGAGGTACGTCGCCCTTTTCTCCTGGCACTATGGGACTTTTTTGTACACACTTTTTGGTGTTCATTTTTATGTTGTATATCGAACGCGACACCACCATTTTCTCTACATGCAGCTCCGCCAACAATTTCTCGACAAATAACGTTTGACTTATTTTGGCGGTAAATGTCATCATGTCCGGCTGTATAGTGATCACGTGAAAGAAGTGATCTTGCGGGAGTAAGAGGGTACGCCCTTTTCTTGGTAATTTTGTGATGTAAAATCCCACCGTAAGAGGCTCCATCGTTAGATAATTCCCGCGCACGTACAGGCCGATGAACCTTCCGTTTTCGTGACGATTTTTTCCTCGGAATGGCGGCAAAAGCCGCGCGGTGTTTTAAAAGAACCATTTCTGATTTATGAAGCAGGCGACACACAATATAAAATGTAAGTCAATGATTTTGATGTGATATAAAGATTAAAGAGCTTTGTCCTGCTACGTCCAGTATTTGTCACGCTTTATATTGTTAATTCATATTACTCATTCGGTACATCTCGGCCTACTGGAAAGAAAGATGCAAACTAACCGGGAAGCTCCGAATAATATACCGTTGCCTGCAGCTGTGACCGCCATTTTTGATAGACGATTTTTCACTTGCTAATCTCCTTTTATGTGTTTCGGACGGGGGATTGACGCGAGAGGTTACTAGAGGCCAGACTAAGTTAATTCTGCGTTTGTATACTGAACTATGGTGGCATATTTCTGCCATCCACTTGCGACTTACGAGTTACGTATGTCGACATAATTATTGAAAGATGTCGACATAATCTGAGAATATGTCGACATAATCTGAGAAGATGTCGACATAACTGTTAAATTATGTCGACATATTATCACATTTGCCGAGATAATTTTGCCGAGATAATTATCTCGTAAGTGGGTAACTCGGCTTTTTATCGTGTTAATGCTCGGGTGTGACATCGACTTACCACTTACGACTTGCCACTTACGACTTATTTATGTCGACATCCTAGTAGATTATTGCCGACTTACCAAAACGAGGCTTGTGCACGAGGACCGCGAAGGTGGGCTGATGGTGACTGAACAGTGGTGACTATACTGGTGAGTAACTTGGTAAAATCAATGTAAATATGGGAAATCAAAGATATGGATATTACAGTAGGTTACTATGATGTACAGAGTTTATCAATCAAAGAGGGATTTTACATAAATAAGTCGTAAGTGGCAAGTCGTAAGTCGATGTCACACCCGAGCATTAACACGATAAAAAGCCGAGTTACCCACTTACGAGATAATTATCTCGGCAAAATTATCTCGGCAAATGTGATAATATGTCGACATAATTTAAAAGTTATGTCGACATCTTCTCAGATTATGTCGACATATTCTCAGATTATGTCGACATCTTTCAATAATTATGTCGACATACGTAACTCGTAAGTCGCAAGTGGATGGCAGAAATATGCCACCATACTGAACATGTATTTTTTACGTTAAGATTTGTATGTTATATCGTCCTACTTTAATTAAAAGTGGCGATTAATTTCAAACAATATTCGTTCAAATGTTTTGAAGTTAATTCTGTATAAGGAATCTAAAACCTAAGTATATGTATCGTATGGCATAAAATCGCGCTCCTTTTTACCTTTTGTACCTACATAGTAACTCTTTAAGGCGGTACCTCCCAATGCAAATGTCTTCATGTGAACTTTAACGTTTTTATTACGTCAAACCGTGAATAAACAAATAAACAAACAAACACATTTTACCTATTTGTCTATATGTTTAAGCCCTATCAATTGTTTAAGACAGAAATATGAAACACAAAATTATAATTCATTTGGCCTGAACATTGAATACGATGAGCTGGTATAGTTAGCATACACTACATACACATGTACTTACCTTTATTGAGGAATAAAAGTCATACATTTGTACATTTAAGACAAAATTTTAGCATATATGATGCAAACATGTCTGTGTCTTAATTAATTGCAGAATTTCTATTTTAGTACTACCAAGTGATTACAGGTAATTATGAGACCCCCTGCCAAGGAGATCCTACTACACAGGAGAAACGTGAGCTTGCAAGACGTTATATATATATATATATATATGGTCGCTAAAGGGGATAGTTATAGCACGTACGCTGGTGCAAGACCTATCAATCTCTACTTTGCTAGGAGGAGAAACAGGTTAGTATAAAACTAATGTATGCCAACCAGTAAAATGTGTATTTCATAAAGGTAGAATTCTGAGCGAATTTTAACTTAAGATAATTTTTAAGAAAAAAAAATAATGTTAATAAATTATTGACACGATAGCAAAACCTAGAGAGATAACAAAATGATGACAAAATATCTATAGATCGAAGTGCGCCCCGATATAAGAGCGCAGGGGTCTGAATATCGGAATTCAGATTAGACAGAAAACGCCCTTGTTTTAATTTACTTTATTTTGAGTCATTTACATATAAACAGGAAGCATCAGCCCTTCGGAAATCAGGAAAACTAATACCAAACTTACCCACCCTACTCCCATCCCCCTCTTTCCATCATGGGTATAAAACAACTCGTACACGTATGAAGCATATATCCTTACACATGAGTAAATGTGTGTAATGTTATGCATATTAATGTACATACTAGCTTTTATGTCATTTTTCCTTTAAGGTAGCAGGTGCCAGTGAATCATTTATAATAGCGAACAAGAGTTCCAATCAGAGTAGGCTTGACTTGGGAGTATTCTCCCTTCCCTTTCATTATGCAACGATCTCCAATAACATCATCTTCAACCTGTTGAAGGCGGGTATTATAAAGAAGGAGTAAAAGTGCACAACAAGTCTTTCAAAGCATAGTAAGCTTGACGATGATTAAATGCAACTTGAACAATTTAACAGATTTTATAATTGAAAACTTAATTTTATACCAAGAAATGTAAACTGATTGAACATGGTCATAAAATAGCTCAAAATCGTTAGTCCTATCAGATTTCTTTTTAAATAGCATTAAAAAGCGACTTGTTAATCTAACCAGGATTACCTGGCTTCAGATATGGTTGTGGGAATCGTGTAACCAAGTTTCCTATGCTAATTGGTGCATTATCTCAAATATTCTGAAAAATGAATCCCATATTATACTTTCAGTATGGAAATTAGAGAAATGACAGATATTCAGCACTTAAACTCAATGTGTGTTAATGCTAATGACGATGGATATAAACGAGTCTAGCTGTGACACATTAAATTTCAAATTTAAAAGCATATTTTATTAAAAATATGCTGAGGGAAAAATCTTCTGATTTCAAGGCTTTTCTGTTATTAAGTGTTCACAAACCTGGTTATGTGGTTTTAAGAATGGTAATCAGAAAGTTGGACAATGGCTTGGATGAGCAACAAGCAGATGAGCTTAACATAAGGGGTTTTGTAATGTGTCTACTGTTCGTGATACTAAGTGACGGGTTATTGGTAGAGTGTCTACTGATCGTGATACTAAGTGACGGGTTATTGGTAGTGTCTACTGTACGTGATACTAAGTGACGGGTTATTGGTAGAGTGTCTACTGTACGTGATACTAAGTGACGGGTTATTGGTAGAGTATCTATTGTACGTGATACTAAGTGGCGGGTTATTGGTAGAATGTCTACTGTACGTGATACTAAGTGACGGATTATTGGTAGAGTGTCTACTGATCGTGATACTAAGTGACGGGTTATTGGTAGTGTCTACGGTACGTGATACTAAGTGTTGGGTTATTGGTAGTGTGTCTACTGATCATGATACTTAGTGACGGGTTATTGGTAGAGTGTCTACTGTACGTGATACTAAGTGACGGGTTATTGGTAGTGTCTAATGTACGTGATACTAAGTGACGGATTATTGGTAAAGTGTCTACTGTACGTGATACTAAGTGACGGGTTATAGGTAGAGTGTCTACTGTACCTGATACTTAGTGACGGGTTATTGGTAAAGTGTCTACTGTACGTGATACTAAGTGACGGGTTATTGGTAGTGTCGACTGTACGTGATACTAAGTGACGGTTTATTGGTCGAGTGTCTACTGTACGTGATACTAAGTGACGGGTTATTGGTAGAGTGTCTACTGTACGTAATACTTAGTGACGGGTTATTGGTAGAGTGTTTACTTTACGTGATACTTAGTGACGGGTTATTGGTATAGTATCTACTGTACGTGATACTAAGTGACGGGTTATTGGTAGAGTGTCTACTGTACGTGATACTAAGTGACGGGTTATTGGTAGAGTGTCTACTGTACGTGATACTAAGTGACGGGTTATTGGTAGAGTGTCTACTGTACGTGATACTAAGTGACGGGTTATTGGTAGAGTGTCTACTGTACGTTATACTAAGTGACGGGTTATTGGTAGAGTGTCTACTGTACGTGATACTAAGTGACGGGTTATTGGTAGAGTGTCTACTGTACGTGATACTAAGTGACGGGTTATTGGTAGAGTGTCTACTGTACGTGATACTAAGTGACGGGTTATTGGTAGAGTGTCTACTGTACGTGATACTAAGTGACGGGTTATTGGTAGAGTGTCTACTGTACGTGATACTAAGTGACGGGTTATTGGTAGAGTGTCTACTGTACGTGATACTAAGTGACGGGTTATTGGTAGAGTGTCTACTGTACGTGATACTAAGTGACGGGTTATTGGTAGAGTGTCTACTGTACGTGATACTAAGTGACGGGTTATTGGTAGAGTGTCTACTGTACGTGATACTAAGTGACGGGTTATTGGTAGAGTGTCTACTGTACGTGATACTAAGTGACGGGTTATTGGTAGAGTGTCTACTGTACGTGATACTAAGTGACGGGTTATTGGTAGAGTGTCTACTGTACGTGATACTAAGTGACGGGTTATTGGTAGAGTGTCTACTGTACGTGATACTAAGTGACGGGTTATTGGTAGAGTGTCTACTGTACGTGATACTAAGTGACGGGTTATTGGTAGAGTGTCTACTGTACGTGATACTAAGTGACGGGTTATTGGTAGAGTGTCTACTGTACGTGATACTAAGTGACGGGTTATTGGTAGAGTGTCTACTGTACGTGATACTAAGTGACGGGTTATTGGTAGAGTGTCTACTGTACGTGATACTAAGTGACGGGTTATTGGTAGAGTGTCTACTGTACGTGATACTAAGTGACGGGTTATTGGTAGAGTGTCTACTGTACGTGATACTAAGTGACGGGTTATTGGTAGAGTGTCTACTGTACGTGATACTAAGTGACGGGTTATTGGTAGAGTGTCTACTGTACGTGATACTAAGTGACGGGTTATTGGTAGAGTGTCTACTGTACGTGATACTAAGTGACGGGTTATTGGTAGAGTGTCTACTGTACGTGATACTAAGTGACGGGTTATTGGTAGAGTGTCTACTGTACGTGATACTAAGTGACGGGTTATTGGTAGAGTGTCTACTGTACGTGATACTAAGTGACGGGTTATTGGTAGAGTGTCTACTGTACGTGATACTAAGTGACGGGTTATTGGTAGAGTGTCTACTGTACGTGATACTAAGTGACGGGTTATTGGTAGAGTGTCTACTGTACGTGATACTAAGTGACGGGTTATTGGTAGAGTGTCTACTGTACGTGATACTAAGTGACGGGTTATTGGTAGAGTGTCTACTGTACGTGATACTAAGTGACGGGTTATTGGTAGAGTGTCTACTGTACGTGATACTAAGTGACGGGTTATTGGTAGAGTGTCTACTGTACGTGATACTAAGTGACGGGTTATTGGTAGAGTGTCTACTGTACGTGATACTAAGTGACGGGTTATTGGTAGAGTGTCTACTGTACGTGATACTAAGTGACGGGTTATTGGTAGAGTGTCTACTGTACGTGATACTAAGTGACGGGTTTTTGGTAGAGTGTCTACTGTACGTGATACTAAGTGACGGGTTATTGGTAGAGTGTCTACTGTACCTGATACTTAGTTTTTCGTTATTGGTAGAATGTCTACTGTACTTTATACTAAGTGTTGGGTTATTGGTAGGGTGTCTACTGTACCTTATACTTAGTTTTTCGTTATTGAAGTTAATAAGCGTTGTGTTATTGGTAGAGTGTACACTGTACGTTATACTAAGTGTTGGGTTATTGGTAGAGTGTCTACTGATCGTGATACTAAGTGTTGGGTTATTGGTAGAGTGTCTACTCTACCTGATACTTAGTTTTTCGTTATTGGTAGAGTGTCTACTGTACGTTATACTAAGTGTTGGGTTATTGGTAGAGTGTCTACTGTACCTGATACTTAGTTTTCGTTATTGAAGTTAATAAGCGTTGTGTTATTGGTAGAGTGTACACTGTACCTTAAACTTAGTGTTGGGTTATTGGTAGTATGTCTACTATACTTGATACTCAGTCAACAATTTTTATACAACAGGATTTGTAGGTTTAAGTTCTGCATTTTGAGGACAAAGAAACACCTTGGATGCCAAACAAAATTTACAAGATCGATTTGGAAAGCATAAATTTAAATGTACGCTTCATACACACTCACGATTTCTATTTATACAAAAAAAAGGACATTCACTGTCAAGTTGTTATTTTTAGGACAATATCTGGAGTACGAGGCCTACCGATCATGGATTCTGTACGTATATGAACCACGAAGGGAGTCCATGACTTAGTGTCATTAGACATGTATCAATTTCACACCCCTATTTCTTATTTTTCTTATCAATTCATTTCCAAACCACTCCATATTGACAAAACTTCACACTAAAGATACGAAGGTAATATAATAAGGTTTTACTGTGTTAACATTTTTAAGATAAACGCCAGGATGGCAATTTTCATTTCACTAATTTTTTTATTGATATTTGTTTGCACATAATTAGCGTACGTTTATGCACCAACCACAATATCAGCAATACAGTATAGTAAAAACCTCGTTATACTGCCACTAGTTATCCAGCAAAGTGTTGACATTATAAAAGGGTTTGGCGATAATAGACGGAGACATGTAAAGGAATGCTGAAGGAAAAGGCACAAAGGGAGAAAAGGGAGAAAGGGAACCTTTGAATACGCTATTGATATAGTAAGAAACGTAACGCAGATAAATAGACGTCGAGTTTTTGCTGTCTATAGATATGTTATATCTACCTCTGTTTTCATATTTACATCTGCTATACATCAAATCCTACGTCAGGGTTTTCCATATAATACATACGAATATACAAATATAGAACATTTACATATATTACAAAATCATTATTGTTAAATTCGTTGTTTAGTTAAGCCATGACCAACGTTGCAAGTACGTTGTCAATGTAAATATTATCTCTAACTGCATACAATTGCATACAATACCGTCATACGTGCAAAGTTCATTGTTGCACCGATGCATTATAACGTATACAAATATAAGTGTTTTATGTCGCAAATGTACATTAAGGTATATCAATTTTTTTTTTTAAATACTCACCTCACTCTTTCCTGTAATATCAAATGTAAACTTTAGAGTTTGAAGTCCTCCTTGTCATTTGTACACAAATATTTTAAATAGATCATGTGAGCTTTGTGACGTCACATACCCGGTAAGCCTCACCTGACTGGGTATTCCGTAAATAATCTACAAGCCCATATAGTCTATTTCAAAAACGTTCTTTAAAATTAAAAACACGATACTACAGGTGACAATATGAACCACACTCTTAAAGTGACTAGTAAATATCTACAGTACTATCAATATAAAAGCAGTAATATAAAGCTTACGTATATATTCACTCATTTACTAGGGGGAAAGCTATTATGCTTGTATGGTTACCCTGTATTTCTTATAGTCACTTCAAATAATAGACTTTGTATCGGTGAATACAAATGTTTACTGAAACAGACTTTAACGGTACAGTTATTTTTAGCTCTGATTCATTGTATTGTAAAATAGATCTGATATTCTCACTGTCATGTGCAAACAGAATTTCGAAACATCAGCTATTTAACTACGTTTACTAGTTACGTTCGTCCATCGTCGATGTAGGTATACAATACGTATGTTATGTTGATCGAACGAAGCTAAAGGCTGACCGCATTTTGGTGTACTTTACTCTCTAGGACATAACTACTGACTAAGATTCTCGCCTCGATAAGCTTAATATAACCTCTATAACATTCGACTAGCTAGCTGATACCCGTCACCATTGTCAAAAATTACGTGAACTTCCTTACATATTATTGTTCAATATATATTAACTTTAATATCATTTAAATGATTAATCAAGCATATCATTTAAATGAATAATTTATCAATAGTGGCCTTTGTGGTGAAATACTTTGGTGTACAAAGCATTGTTAGTTTAATGCTGAAATAGAACTTTTTTTTTCAACTGATTGAAACATCCCAATTAATAACTAATACTACGCCAATACTACGCCAGTACTGTTGTTTCTTTAATTAAAATCACAAGAAACGTGAAAATAGTTTTACTTATTTAGAAAAAACAATAAATTGTTTGGAAAAAAGTAGCTGAGCCCTGTTTAAGCTTGCAATGCTTTGAAGAACTGGACAATTTATACGTTGTACGCGGCGTTTTGTAATATGCATATACAGTTTTACGTACGTCCAATCGTCTTAAAGGGTTACTATTGTCTTCCCGTTTATAGTTTGGTGTCTCCAAAAACTCTCTTGTAGTCTTTCCTTTTATGATATTTGTTCTCCTTTCTATTGTTTTGGTATCTCATAGGTTGTTGTTGTTCTCCTTTCTATTGTTTGTGTATCTCATAGGTTGTTGTTGTTCTCGTTCCTGATTTTGTTTATTTTGTTATTTACTCAGTTTCTGTTTTTGTCTTTCGCTTTGTGTTGATGTTTAAGCAGTTCTTGTTTGATTTCGGGTTTTTTTGTTTTCGTTTCTTCTCAGTTCCTGTTCCATGTAGTCTTTCATTTTACTTTGGCGTTCTTCTGTTGTTGTATTTTTATTGTTTTATTGTTTGCTAAGTTCCTGTTCCATGCTGCCTCATTTTGTTTTGGTGAATCCTATGTTTTTGTATGTTTTACTGATTTGCTGTATCTTCAGGTCATGATGTTGTCTTTCCTTTTGCTTTGGCGTCTCGGGTGTTGTTTTCTTTTCTATTATTTTGCTGTCACTTCAGTTCCTGTTTCATAGTGTCTTTCATTCTGTTTGTTGTATCCTGTGGTGTTGTGGGTTGTACTGATTTGCTGTATCTTCAGGTCATGATGTTGGCTTTCCTTTTGCTTTGGCGTCTCGGGTGTTGTTTTCTTTTCTATTATTTTCCTGTCTCTTCAGTTCCTGTTTCATAGTGTCTTTCATTCTGTTTGTTGTATCCTGTGTTGTTGTATGTTTTATTGTTTTACTGTCTCCTCAGGTCATGTGGCTTGCTTTCCATTTGTTTTGCAGTCTTCTAAGGTTCTGTTGTTGTATTTCCTTTTGTTTCGGTGTGTCCTGTTTTGTTGCCTTTTCTGTTGTTGTTTCTTTTGTCTCTTCATGTCCTGTATTGTTGTCTTGCCTTTTGTTTTGGCGTCTCCTGCGAAATTGACTTTCCTTTTGTTCTGGCGTCTCCTGTATTTTTGTCTTGTCTTTTGTTCTGGCGTCTCATGTGAAGTTGACTTTCCTTTTGTTCTGGCGTCTCCTGTGAAGTTAACTTTCCTTTTGTTCTGGCGTCTCCTGTATTGTTGTCTTGCCTTTTGTTCTGGTGTCCCCTGTGCTGTCCTGTTGTTTGTGTCTTAGTGTGTCTGCGGAGAAAATACACGAGTCTATTGCATATGTCGGTCTCTCGTAGTAAGAGTGTTAATCAAAGTAAGGCAACGTATAAAATATCTTAACACGTCAAAGGACATCAGGAGTTAACAGAGCTAAATGAAACGATTCTTGTGTTAGACGGGAGCTGTACCGAACTTAATGGCAATCTCTGTAAATCTAAACTTTTATAGGGAAGAGAGAACCAACTCTATATAACAAAATATAACTGGAATAAGAGGTGATGTATTTATAAACATGTGTGTGAAGTTTCGTGACAATTGGATAAGAAATGAATTTTGTAGTGCAATTTTAATCAAATTCTATTTATAGTATCGATTACCTAGTATTTGACCACAGAAGGCCGAAACGCAAACTGGAATAAGAGATAATGTGTATAAGCACATTGTGTTAAGTTTCGTGACGATTGGAAGGGAAATTATGAAGTCAAAGGAACAATTACTGTTAAAATTATATTCATAGTAACGTAAAGTGACCGCAGATGGTCGCAATGCAAACTCTACAAGAAGCAATGTTTGTGAATATGTGTGTGAAGTTTGGTGGCGATTGAAAAGGAAATTCGTATGAAGAGCAATTTCTATCAAAACCTATTTATAGTAACGGTGACGTATTTGTTTACCGCAGACTGCCAAAATGCAAGATCATAAAAACTCGACATTTGTGAACACATGTGTGACGTTTGAATCGCTGAGTCGATTAACAAACACAAAAAACGAACCGCGGATCAATCAAATTAAAGGGTACATGTAAGACCCTTAGGAGGCACGGTAGTTTAGTGGTAGGACGCCGGGTTCGTGACCGAAGGGTTGCGGATTCGAGTCACGGCACGGCACTGTGTTGTATCTTTGAGCAAGAGACTTTACTCCGATTATTCCAGTCTACTCAGCTGTAAATGATTAAGTGGTTGGGCAGTGCTAGAATTGAAGAGTGCTAGCAGTGAGCGCCGAAATGGCAGCAGTGGCTGTATGCTCCCCGGGGAGTTGAGAAAGATATTGGCTGGTTCAAAGGCCCTATAACCACGGACAATAATTTGTGGACCGCTTTGAGACGACCTATGAACTAGGTTGTGATAAAACGGTTTATAAGAACCTCGAACTATAGTTATGATCATAAGACCTTAAACAACAAGAGAATGCCGTAGTGTTCCGGAAGGGTAAGCATCTTCTGCTTCATCAACGACATGGTAGAATCTAGATCAATGCCAAGAAATGTCACGTCCTCACCGCGGAGACTTCCTGTGGTGATAAGAAAACAAAAAAGCACTATAAACAGCATCATCATTAAACGTCGGCTTCATATCTTCAACAAAGAATTAGCATATTTCTCAATCACATCGTGATGGCAACCATAAAACTTGTTCAAAGTCTTCATCAGCCTGAATCTTTGGACACTTTCAGGTTTCCATTTCTGACACCATGTTGCTATTAATGTATTTGTTTGTTTCTTTATATGTAACGATAGTCAAGTTGTTCAGTCTATCTGACAAATGAAAATTGATAAAAAAAAAAAAAAACACCACAACATACATGTACAAGTTTTCACAAAGTTAAGTAAAGTTTTATTCAAAGCAACTTTATCAAAGTACTTGCCACAAGTAACACTAACTTGTTAGATAAAAGTATATACAGGAGTATAGTGTATGACCAACGCAAGTGTGATGCACTTTGCACTACTTAATACACTGCAAAGTTCAACTAATTNGGACATTCATAAATTACATTAAACCAGGTTTAATTTGTATTTATTAAACTCTACACATAATTATTAAACTCTACTCCTCGTTAATCCTTTCTTCAGAATTCTCTAAAGTCTCTCCGTTCTAAAGTAACTCTCCATTCTCTATTGTCTCGGTTCTCTCTTTTCTCAATACTCCCCGATTTCCCCCCTCAACTCCCAAACAGTTATTTTTATATGGACTACTTTTTTTAAGATAATGACATAAATTAAGTCATATTAAACCTAGCTAATGCTATTATAAACTAAATAAACCCAAATCTATACTTAACTTAGCCAATGACATCATAAACTAAATATACCAAAAGCCATGCTAATGACATCATTTACATCTAACCCTTCTGATGCCTCAAATATGATAATTGTACTCCAGTCTAAAGATACCACACCAGGGAGGCTCTTGATAACTGTACTCAAGTCTAAAGATACCACACCAGGGAGGCTCTTGATAACTGTATTCCAGTCTAAACATACCACACCAGGGAGGCTCTTGATAACTGTACTTTAGTCTAAAGATACCACACCAGGGAGGCTCTTGATAACTGTACTTCAGTCTAAAGATACCACACCAGGGAGGCTCTTGATAACTGTACTCCAGTCTAAAGATACCACACCAGGGAGGCTCTTAACCTTCGACTTTATCACGTTCTACTCAGCAACTGTACACTTATCTCTAAGCTACAACAAGCAATAAACCACTAAACTGACCCTCTTGAAAGACTTACCTTTTATTTGTATTCACAAAAAGCATCTATGTAGTTAATGAAATGTAAATACCAAACATTACCTTGTGTTTATAACTCAAAAATTACCCTTATAACTCAAAAATTACCCTGTGTTTATAGCTGAAAAATTACCCTGTGTTTATAACTAAAAAATAACCCTGTGTTTATAACTCAAAAATGCTCTGTCGAAAGTGGATATTGTCCCGGTTATCGTACAGTTTAGTAATGAGCCGTTCCTGATTGTCAGGTTGTAAGTAAAGATAGAAGACAACGACTGAAGTAGAAAAGTCTGTAGTATCCTTGATTTCAAGCTCAGGAGGGTATATATGATTGATATAGTCGATGCTTTTCTTTTTATTTAAGACAGCACATCGGCTATATATCTGAATGGGAAATTGGTGGACTTGTTAAGTTAATTTTTGTTATCGGTTCTTAAAATGTACATTGTATTGTGCATCTGAGGTCAAAGGCTTTGTTGAAGTAAGGATATAGGTCACACAATTTGGAATAACTCACTTAGTCACTATAAGTAGCATTTCGGCCAGCATCCAAGCTAGGAGTATCGAAGTTGTGTCTTGTCGCTGTACAATTTTTTCACCTCTTATGTCTTAATCCTGACTCGATCAGTGATTTATTAATTCAGTTTGTGAGAGCAATAGTCTGTTGTTTGAATGTCCTAGGATACTTTTTCATCTTTTCTTCTTCTTCTTTTTCTTTTTCTTCTTCTTTTCCTGTAATTGGAATGTCCTAGTAGTAGTATCTTCTCCTCTTTCTACTTTTCCTCCTTTTCCTCCTCCTCCTCCTCCTCCTCCTCCTCTTTTTCTTCTTCTTTTTAAGCTTCTTATGTTTATTTAATTTGAATATCCTAGTAGTAGTATTTTCTCCTTCTCCCCTCCTCCTCCTCCTTCTCCTCCTCTTTTTCTTCTTCTTCTTAAGCTTCTGTAATTTGAATGTCATAGAAGTATTATTTCCTCCTCCTCCTCCTCCTCCTCCTCCTCCACCTCCTCCTCCTCCCTCTTTGTTTCTTCTTCCTCTCTTCTTTTGTATCTCATGCTTCTGTAATTTTATTATCCTAGTTGTATCCTCCTCCTTCTTTTTCTTCCCCTTTTTTCTTTTTCTTTTCTTTCTCTTCTTCTTCTTCTTCTTTTTCTGCGTCTAATGTTTCTGTAATTCGAATGTCATTGGATAATAATTTTCTTCTTTTATTTCTCCTCCTTCTTTTTCTTGTTTCTCCTCTTCTTCCTCCTCTTCTTCTTACATTTCTGTAGTTTGAATAACCTAGGATACTTGTCAATGTTTTCTTCCTCTTTTGAAATAATAAACTTGTTGTTGCATTATCTGACGTCGGTTACGTTTGTATATGATAAAATGGCTTTATCACAGATTCTCCTGTCTAATCTATCCGCACCTCTTCGGTGTATGACTAACTACTCATCAGTTTGACAAGCCATGTACGGGTATTTCATCACTGATATAAATATCAATTACGTATACTTATATTAAACAACTTTGTATACGGGGATATATGACACCCGGAGTTTAATACTTCGTAATAAGTGAAAACAGTTGTATCCATCAAACGTGACGTCATGGCTTCTAGAATCATTGTGACATGGTGTCAAATATGTCTAACGATATTTACTGTAATTATTAACTTACGTGAATCAAGTGGTGTGCCAAATAACGCGGATACTCTGAAAACAAGACAGATTTCACCAAAATTGTTCAACATAGAAGAGAATGTCAGCGACCGAAGATTTTCTCTAAATTCAGGATCGGAAATTAACGACACAGAAAATAACACATTACAAACCCTAATTGATGTGCCAATTGATTCAGAAAGTTTGGCTACGAGACAAAATTCTCCGACATTTTTCAACATAGAAATGAAGGCGAACAACCGAAGACTTTCTCTGGGTGTGGCGTCGAATAAAAATGATGATCTGCGGAAGAGACTTCTTGATCTCAATATGTGGTTTCCGTGTGGCACAGTTGATCGTTGTCGGGTCGGGAGAAACTATTGCAACGTTGATACTAACAGGTGTGAAATATGTAATTCCGATGTATGTCACGGGTCAAACGCCGACAGTATGTGCAATTTTATGTGTAAAGGTAAGAACACTTTTTCGCCAAGAAATTTCCCGCTTTATGAAGTTATGCATAAGTGAAATATAAAGTCTGTTTTCACTCTTTAGAAGAAGGCAATATATTTTGGTATAATTTATCCCTCTTCTGTTCCTTGGTAATTTTTAACTGTTTTACTGTTTTGAGTGGAAAGATCACTAAACATTCTATTCGAGAAGTACATGGGTATTATACCAAGTCCCTTGCTATAATTTAAAAATGTCTACATTCTGCTCTTAGTTTACTTGTTAAGAATCAATAATATTAAAAGGAAAGATAGCTACCATGGTATATGTAACAAAAACAAACAAAAAACATTACAAGTTGCATTATGATTGAATATTATTAGTGGAAAGTTTCACACTCCCTATATATATACGAATATATATTTATCTATGACGAAATATGTTATCATTAAGGCCAATGATGTTCACGTTCAGATCATGTTTACAGACTCACACATACACACATACACACATATATATACAAAGGTAATAGTACATGTAATAAGATAAAATACATGAAAAAATCTTCGTGGATTTTTAATAGAATTCGTAAAATCTCTTTAAAGGTGGTTTATGAAACGAAAGGGATTTGACCCGTCTGATATATGATTATGTACCTTTCCCTAGCCACTTTCCCCTAGCTATGGTGTATCGCAATTGATTCGGTATTTAAGAGTTTGCTCCCTATATCATGGCGTCCGTGATAGATGTCGACGGCTGACTGGCCAACTGACAATTAACGGTTCCCAAAGAAGCAGCTTGATAAGGAGTATGGACAAGTGTATTGGTAGCCATCTCATAGAGGAAAAATAGACAATTTCTTAAAGATATGAAAGTCGATGTTTCTGATTTTGATTATTAGTGTGGCTCTCTAGTTCTCGATTGAATAACTTGGATTTTACCTGGATCTACATGGCGGGTGTGGTCGATGAAGCCGAAGACGCTTACTCTTCTGGACCATCTGGTCTTATCTCCTTGCACTCTTTCAGCGATCTCCATGTAAATCTTCCCTTTATTCATATTTTGCCTTAGTTTTATTAATGTTGAGTTCTAGTTATTGTTTTGCTGTAACTTCGATATTCTCCTCTTTTCTTTTCAAGTGTGCACTGGCAACTAATAAACCGAATTTCCATCCAAAACAAAATAGTAAATAGTTCTCTAGATAGGAGATTATTAACGAAATTTGTTATTGTACAATGTATAACGTATTGTATATTATAGTAAATAGCATTGTGTGTTCGAGCTGTTATATTCAAAGTTAAAACAGAGAAATAACTTTAAACGCAGCGTCGTTAGTAATAACATTCTGATTTGTTAATTGACGAACCCAAATGTCTAAATCAAATATTATATTACTGCTAACTAAGTATCAAATGTTTACAGTCTAGACCGGCATTCACTCATTTACCATTGTTTCCGTCAAACATGACAGGCGTCCATGACGTCGACAACAATACATGTGGGCGGGGTTATGCACATTTGTGTGATCTCATCAACAGTAAATGTGGGCGGAGTAAACCATGGCTTATGCGAAATTCCGGCTGTTAGTTTTAGTGAACCGATAGTACGTTAATAAAGTTTGGAAATGAAGTTTGTATCCGCTTATCAAACTAATAAATAAAATAGTTGCAAATCATTTACAGAGAATACTGTAAATAGCTTCCCCACCTCATCTGGAAGTATCACCTCATAAACTGACCAAAATAGAAAGCTATTCCTTGAATATATGCTTTTTCATTTTTGTTAAAAATATTACTCTAATTTCAGAAATCCCATCACCAGAGGAATCTTCCACTGCCTCTTCTGGTACCACACCTCCAGTTACCATAACAACAGAAAGATGTCCGAATGTATCACCATCGGAACTAACAACTAATGGTAAGGTTTATCACGAAAGCAGAATTACATTTCACATGATTGTTTAATATGATATGGAGGTCTCGCCGCTTAATGTAACCATAACTGTATATATACATTTCCACTTCAGGTTCCTCTACAAGCATTACCAACAGAAAAGGCGTTCGTACATATGTAATACTATGAACGCTTTTTCATCTACTTCAGTTTGAAGCTTCTCCGCCAGCCTCGATTGACATGAGACAACCAATTAGAGTCAAACATTTTGTTGACGTTAGTCCGTGCCAGTAATCATGTTTGGCTACAATATGATATTGCCCACATAAATAATGGGGACCAAAGAATTTTCACTGGCATGCTTCTGTTAAAACAAAGCATTTTTTTCTATATTTATGTATTAAAAACACAAGGATTTCACTGCATTTCAGTTGCATTTATGATGGAAAGGGTTCGTTGGCAAGAGTTTCTAACAGACTCTAGGCATTCCTTTAGGAACAAACAGTGTCCCTCTTCTGACCGACCTATTTTTCTTTCAATTTCAATTTCCAGTATATGATAAAATCTTCCTGAAATTGAAATAAATGATACTTCAGATTTTTCTACAGCAGTCGATGGTTTTTTTTTGTCTTTACATACATGCTTATCATGACCAATAGTTACATTCCTAAAATCAATACCTACGGTGTTACATGTTATAGGCGATGTAGTAATTAGAATCTTGCTCCGGATATCATTATTTCTGTGATATATACAAAGTATCGACTGCTGGCGTCCCCAGCTACAATGATAAAGGTTGGTGAAGACTATTGTGAAGTTCAATGGTTGCCATCATTATCTCATTGGGAAGTAAACTATCTCTTCAAGTGCTTTGAAGATCTTTTTCTTTTTCATTTTACTTATTGGTGTGCCTTGTTGTTTCGTTTAAACTACCCTTTCTATTCGTTTGAGGACGTGACATTGATTTGCTTTGACATATATTTACATTGCGAGTGTCGTCGATGAAGTGAAAGACGCTTCCCCTTCCGGAACATCTGGTCGTTTTCTCCTTTTCAATGGTACCCATGTAATGTTTTCCTTGTTCCTGTTTAATCAATTTTTCAGTTCAAATTACCGTTTTGTTGATACTTCTGTACTCTCCTGTTTTTGTTTTTTTGTGTTTATTATTAGTTTGTTCGGGGTTTTTTTTGCTCTCATAAGATAATATGAATCTTCATTTGTACCGATCATGGCATCTTGGTTTGCAGTAAACATACCTTAAATTCCTTAAAATCAGTTAAATTGTTAAATTAAATAAATTTGGTAGGTTGATTAAGAGTTTTTAAGAGGCAAACGTAAACATATTCTTGTATATCATCCCAAAAACAAATTCGAAAATTCACACTTTATTTGGCGTGTTAAATGTCTGATTTATATTTCATGTAATACAAACAAAGAAAATGAATAACTAAAACTATCCATTTGTCAGTGAATCTCATTATTTTCGTTATAATGATATTCATCGTTACATTCATGTATTTTTTCCCCCATCTACAGACTGTCCATGGAAAAAAGTTTCGGTTGTGGTTATCATTTGTCTCGCACTGACATGGACTACCCTCAGTTTGCTTGTGGTAAAGAAACGCTATGGGCGCAAAAAATCCGCAGATATAACAAGAGCTGACCAAGGTAATACAACATGGCGATTAAAGTACAAAAACTCCACTAGAGAGGTTTCAAAGTACAACATGGTTACAACTATTTGACCATATTAATGAGGAAGTTATTATTTTCTCTGTGGCATTTTGACGCCAACAGGTCACGTGATTATGTGCATGGTTTGCACGTGAAAATCGCTATCAACTGCTGTTTAGGCAGAGATATGGGGAAGCAAACTTAAAAATTCGTTTTCACATTGATTGAAAATTCATTATACCTACATGTCATCAGATATTTAAACCTACTCATTTGTGTTGTTTGGTGGAAGAAAATTGAAATTGGCTTATTTTTTTGTAATTGATAATCAAAGACAACATGTCTTTTGTATACATTTTTGGGGTGGTTTGGGGTGGGTTGGGGTCGGTTAGGTCGGTGGCCGAGTGGTTAAGACGTCTGATCGTATCCCTCCACCACTGGGTTCTAGATCCAAAGCCCACGTGGCCTAGGTAACTCCCGCAGGTCGGTGATTTTTTCCGGGTACTCCGGTTTTCCTCCACCGGTAAATTTTGTCTTGTCCTTAAATGACCCTAGCTGCTAATAGGACGTAAAGCATGGAACAAACAATGCTTAAAATTCTATTTTCTGTTTTATTAAACCCATTGGTACCTCTGTCGCGGAAGAAAATGTGTATGTATTTATGTTGGTCATACTATGGTTTAGACAGAGATGTGTTGCGTCATTGTACTGAAATCGGGACACATGTTGTTCATACTGCTACCTTTTTAGACATTACAATATCAGTAAATGAATTTATTAATTTGAAAGACGAGATTTTTAGTTTTAATTTTTGTAATCATTTAATTCTGAAAACCAAGTCTCGATTTGAGATTAATGCGTGAAAATCAATTAAATTTGAGAAAAAGGCTGTGGGGTTGTAGGTTTTTTCCCCAAGCTCATTTTTTCAATTGAATCTAAACGCTCATTTTCTGCTTAGTAGCACAATTATCATTCTACCCAAAATGCTCGGTACATACAACAGTGAAACCACCGTTTTGGCAAAAATAAACAAAATCTTAACCGGAATGCTTGAAATTTATATAAGCGTTCCGAAAACCTTCATATATTTAATATTTGAGTTGATTGCGTTATATTATCAGTATATTTAGGAAGGAATGTTGAGGTGCATGAAGCAACTGATACGAATGTAAGAAAATTGTCTAATTAGTCCTGTTTTGATTTTTAACAGCAACTTCTCTTAAGGAACTGGCCACAACAGATCGGGGTTATCCTGTTATGATGCGCCAAGACAGTACTGACGCTGAACGTGCGGTATCCAACTCACCAGTTCCTTGATTTTTCAATTTCAAATGATATCACATTGTATATGCTTAATATTAAACGTATAAACACATTTAATTGTATCGTTTATGTATTTATCATATACCAAAGCGAATAACATTATCCCATAATGTTTTAATATAAAACGTGTAGTTTTTAGATTTTCTCTGCATTGCCAATATGTGAACAAACCTTAGTCGGCTGTTGATTATGAGAACCCAATACTGAAGTCATCAACTATTTTCAGACTGTCAATTTCAACCTTTAGCTTTTCCAATTATTGAAATTCTACGTGAAAGAAATGGTGGCATAATGTGAAACTTAACGCCATCCTAAAATAGAAAGGGAAAGCTAGCATCACATTGGCATACACCTATAAATGTGTCAGCCAATCAGAGGCCACGGTGGCCATGTGCCACAAGTAGTCCTGAGGAAACGTTCTGAAAGAAGATGAAGAAGAAGAAGATGATGATGATGAAATGTTGAAAGTGATTTAGAAGGAAATGATGAAGAAAGAAGAAAACTGTTGATTATTAATGATAACAAACTGCGTAAATGCACAAAGCTGAACCTACTGATGACGTCATGTTACTTTGACACAGATATATTCAATAATAATTAAATGTTCACTGAGTATAATCCGAGAATGTTCAGAATATTTAATGAACTCGATCACTATTTCAATATTTATTTCGATCTCAACAAAATGGCTAGAGAACTCTCAACTATATGCCGTAAAGATTTGTTATGTCACGACATTCCACATACTAACTACAACATTAATACAAGACCAAAGGCAATCTGATTCGCATGCGTCGTGTGGTAATATGTCTTCCTGATCAGCTAACGAAAATTAACTAATTTTCAACATTCACTAGCACTGCAACAGTCCGATCTATGGAATTGTCGTTTATTTTAGGTTTCCAAGTGTCCAGGCTTCGAAACTGATCTTTTTCCGTGCTGTTGTACCTCGACCTTATAATCATAGACCTGTCACGTCGATCTCGATTGACAGGCCAACTCCCGCCATATTTCAAACAGGCCTCTGGGCTACTTCCTGTTTACACTTACAAAAATCTTTTATATTTGTACAGTTCATCAGAACACAGATACATCCCCTTACCCACCTTACAGCTCGGCAATCCCGACCATACAAAATGTAAACAATCTACACCGACCCCCCGCCAGACTCTATCAGTGGCATATAGTGTTTTTGCAATGGAATTACACCGTGTAAACAACTGTAACGGTAAGCTAGGTTTCCTGGCCATTCTTCTACTGTCCCTTTCGGCAAATAGGACAATAGGATTTTTTTTAAAAGAACTTGACAGTAAAGAAAGAGAAATTAGGACGGTGTGCACCACCCTAGTCCGTCCCCAGTTAGAGTATTCAGCCTGTGTCTGGTACCCTACAACACAACAGCTTAGTAGCCAAATAGAGTTGGTCGAGCGCAGAGCAGCGCGATGGGTAAAGCGTGATCACTCCCCTCTTTCGAGTGAATCTTCGACATATTGGTGAGTCTGGGTTGGCAAACTCTCCAACACAGGCGGTCAGTGGCCATGTGGTGTCTGTTTTGCAAAGTTGTCTATCAGCTGGTTTATATTCCAATGCCGCAATACATACAGTATCTACTGGGATACTCCAGCAATGCTCATCAACATTCATACGGACAGATAACAACAACAAAAGACTACTGTTTTTAACTTTAAAATGTTAATCTTTTAACCTGAAACGTAACTGTCTACAAATTAATTACCATATAAACGATGTATCACTACCGCTTTCTTTTACTTACTACTTCCAGCCCAGTAGCCTTGTACTTATGAAAACACCGTTTTTTACATCCTGCACTGACGCACACGCTGCAGAGAGAAGTCGAAAGAAGGCGTTGCAATATTAGAGATCAATAGATTCTCAAATTCAACAAAATTGTATGATTGTAGTGCTAAGTCCTCCGAAAAGGAAAGAGTTTCTGCAACATTTGTGCCACCCGTCATAGAGTTAAACCCAGAAAACTATATCATAGATATTTTACGTTATAATACAAACATAGATGTTTTGGATTTGGCACATATTTGAAACAACAACCTTTTCTCTAAATTTTGAAATAATTCAAATTTACACTTTCTCTGGTTTCGTCTATTTTTCAGCTTTTATTATGAGGAAGTGTTAAAGCGAATGATAATGTACCCTTTCAGAAAGGTCTTTTGGTACCAATTTTAGATATAACTATTTATAAGCCAAATTATAAACAGGACACTGCTGTAGGTATACATGTAATTTATATTTAAATGTATCTTTCAAATTCAGATAGAAAAATTATGTCTTTGCATTTTCTCCCAGTAAGACTAAGAATCTAACATTCCTGTGTGATGTAGAAAGAGAGTCCCGTATTTTTGCGGTTCAGCACCAGGCTTGAGATTGCTATTTTTACACAAGAATGATTATTTTCTCACACATTTTCCTTCTGCAAAAATATGGACCCAATTAACTGCATCATCATCAGCGGCGCATTTAATGTGTGACAAAAAATGATGACGTGATCCTGGTCATGCAGCATGAAGTGACGACGCGATGGTGACGTTTTCAGAATAAAGGCGCGTTTGGGCTTTTTACACAAATACAGGTTGATCGTTCCGCAAGTAAAAACGTTAATGCACATGTGAGGTGTGGAGAAAATGATAGTCACTTCACTATCAGACTCTTGTTACAAAAATGCAGACGTTAACGATTATTGAAGTCCTTTTCTCAGTAGTAACACACCAACTTTGCATGTTTGTAGAGATAGCATGTCACAGTGAATAAGTGACGTGATTTTCTAGATATCTGACGTTCTCTTTGCCATATTAACCACACATACAGGGATTTCTATCGGTAGTGACGCAACCAACGCATCCCAATATAGACCTCTTTGATACTTTTTCCTCTCTTTATTATTAGTTTTTCGTCATCCTTAAAGCGTACTAGTTAGTCTTATAAACGATTTATGATACCTAAATGATTAAGCATATAATTTATTTGCATGATTGTCTCCGTTTATCTTCTTTTTTTTTTAACTTTGTTAGCTTCATTTAGAATCTTTTGATAATGCTTTAGTTTTGATGTTCTTTCATAGATGTCATGCATTTATGAATATATCCCTTTGTATAAAGTAACACAAATCCCTGAACATTAAACAAATCAATTATTTACATCTTAAGGATGTTCACCTCTGAGAAGTCAAAAATTTCCTGTATTAAACTTTTTTTCTTATATGGATTTTTGGAAAAAGGAGTTAATGGCAAAGTAGAAAATGCAAAAAATACTATATGTCGGTGTGTTCGTTTTTGTGCTATGATCGGTCAAAGATACCAATTTAACACAATATGTCATTTTAGGTGATTTTTTGGGTTTTGACCATTTGCGGAACAAATTCATACAATTTCTTCCAAGTGTGTTATCAGATATGTATGAATGTTTGTAGAATTGATAAAAATATTATTTTCTTTTAAATTATGGAAGTAAATTTTCTTAATCTTATTCTTTTAACTCAGAAAGCCGATTTTAGTTACCGCTACCCCCTATTTTTTAATGAAAAAATACTCATTTTTTTAATGAAAAAATACTCATTTTGTTACCATTTTTTGCAGATTAAACGCTTGATATAAAAAGTTTTGGTATTATTTTTTTTGATGTGTGTGTTTCTCTTTCTAAAACATCCACAAAAATCGGGGGTCGGTGTGCTTCTTTTTTTGTCCCATTATCATTTTTGTTATTTTTTACCTTTTTCGGGGTCAAAAACCAAAAGTGCTTCAGTTACACTAAATATGTTAAAAAAATATCAATAATGTATAATTTTCCAGTTTGTTGCATATTATTTTTATCATAATAAACATTATAAAGTTGTACAGCAAAATTGAACCTACTATAATTAAAAATGGCGACACAATGAAAACTTAAGTGATCAATCTAGTGTCAAAAAAGGTGAAAAATACACATTAATACACATTTTCAAAATGGCCGCCGAATTGGTATTTTTTTTAAATTCTTGTAAAAAAAGTTCTACAAACAACAGACATCTAGTTTTTTATATATATTTTTCAGATGCGTGTTTGCTAATAAACTTGATCATAATTTGTTAAATATTACAAAAACCCGTTACACCAGATCAAAACGAGACTTGAACGTGATTGAAACCTCAGAAGAGTACATCCTTAAAACATATGCAAGCACATTGAAACAAAACAAAAAACAAATTTAAACATTCAACAACACTTTATTTATTTTAGACAGTCGACAGGGTTTTTTCGTGCTGAATATGAAATGACATGATATTACGATAAATTACAGTATATTAATATTTCAAAAACAAGTGAATATGATACCTTTTTTTTTTTTTTGGAAGGAGTTGTCTTTTGAGATCTTTGAAAGATTTGATATACTTCTACACTACACTAAACACTTATCCTAAAATGGTATTTCTGACATCACTTTTTCTCTTGATCGATGCGCTTAATGAATACAGTTTTTTTTATTTAATCATTTAGGACTTGTGTAAGTCTAGCACTAGTGATTGCATACATGTTAATATAGCACAAAAGTGTTACCTGCCACACATATTTATTTACTGGTTGTGCTATAAAACCATATATACATATGCAAGACCACACACTTGTGTTTTTTCTAACAAATCAGAAAGCACTCATTTATTGCGCGGACGAATATATTCACGAGTACGCAGAGCGTTAGATTCGTTAGAAAAACACAAGTGTGTGGTCTTGCATATGTATATATGGTTTTATAGCATAACCAGTTGGTTATAGCACAACCAGTAACTGGGTTTGACAATGTTCAATCAAAGTTAGGTCGCTAGGACAAATAGCTAAAATAGCAATATGTCATATATAGATTTGAAACAATAGAGGTTTCTGTTTTCTGTAAGCTTTAAAAAAAATAAAAAAAAATAAAAAAAGACTTAAAGTTCAAGATGGAATATACTTAACTAGAGAACGGGAAGAACTAAATTATACCAGAAATCAGTGATGTCAGGCTTGAACTGTCAATATTAAAGATAGCTGCCTGTCGGCC